GTGTGCACTGAGCAAGCAGAGCCTGTGCCAGGAGTGTTCCCACTGGGGGGGGGCAGTGCTGTGATCATCAGCGTGAGGAGAAACTGATCTGTGTGTCTGCCAAGATCTGGAGATGGGACCAGCAGCCGGGTGGGCATCGGGGTGCAAGGAATAAGACGAGTGCCGTGGTGTCCGCGGCAGGGAGATGGCTGTGCAGGCTGTGCCGCGCCCCGTGGGAGCTGACCTCTACAGCTTGCTTCCTAGCAGTCTCCACTCACTTCTGGGGCTCCTGATGCAGGTGTCTGTCACGTGAACTAGCCGGGCACACCAGGACCTGACAGGGACACTTGATTTCTCCCTCAAATAGTGGGCACTGTGAGAGTGGGCACCAGAATGCAGCCCCCTCGCCCCAGGTCCCTTCTGAAGTGTGTTTGGTTTGGGTCTTTTTCCCTTTTTGGATCTTCTGTATTTTTGGTGTTTTTGTTTGCTTCCAGGTGTTATTTAAAATCAGGAGCTCCTAGGATTCTAGAACTGTGGTGATTTCGTGTCAGCAACAGGTTGAAGCTTTTTAAAACTGGAAATATTTAGGTAACTTGTACTTTCTATTACCCTGAAAGCCTGGGGCTCTGATTAACTGCTTGGAGACTATAGGGTTTTAAGGAGTCCTGAGAGGAAAGGCAGTTGCTGCCCAAGTTAACAGAAGCCTCGGAAATCAAGGGCAGATCTGCTCTGGCCTCGAGGGTCACTGGTGGTCGGAATCAGCTTGGGGTGGGTTGGTTGTATGGTGCAGGGATTAAGCACTCAGTTACTTACTGGAATATTGGTGATTTGAACCCTTGTGCACTCTGAGGGAACAAGACATGACAGTTTACTTTTATAGAGATGACGGCCCGGGAGCCCCGTGGGCTGTCCTGCTCTGCCCTGCAGGATCGGCATAACTCAACCCCATGGCTGTACATTTTTAGACATGGTAACTTACTTACAATTAAATAGTATAGAACAATTTTTGTAGTTTTGTTTTCAATTACCTGTTTTTCACAGATCTAATTTTTAATTGCAAAAATTAAGCATACTCACTTTGCAAAGTTGAGGCCTTGGGAGACTGTCACGTACTTGTGGTCTCGTTCCTCGGGAGACACTGGTACCTGTTGGGTGAATTGAATTGGTTTCTTACCACATGATAGCTTAAGCACTTGAAATGTGTTTGCTTTGCTTCTCTGAGTGAAGTTTTCTGGAAGGCTTCCTGCTAAACATTATAAAAACATGTATGCACTTTTCCTCATCAGCCTTTTGGTGGCGTAACCCTGCCGAGCAGTTTTGTATTGCAGGATTTGCACTTGGGCACAGGATCTGGCCCAGCAACTCTGGGCAGTGTGACAGGAGGGCTGTGAAAATTCTGGCCAAGGCTTCAGAATTGGTGTTTTTATTTTTCTGACAGATTGTGACAGATGTGCATTATAAAGACATTGAGAAAAGAATAAACTTGCCTCAGAGTTTAAGTTGGAAAGCACTGGAACCAGAGTTGTCACTTTGGGTATAAGCAGGTCACTTAGGCGTCCCACCCACTGACTCATTTGAGTGCCTGTTTCGGGGCTGGGGGGCAGGGAACTGACAGTGGGTGCCTGAGGGACCCTGCCACCACCCTGCCCAGCTGTCACTCAGTGTTGTGCTTTCTCTGAAAACTTTAAAAGGGTTTTGTTTCTTGGATTATAAAGAAATAGGTTCATCGCAGATATTTTGTGAACAGAGTTGATCCCAGTTTCTCAAGAGTTGTCAGCAGTAAGGTGTCTCTCAGCTGTGCTGGTGGTGAGTGGAGCCTTTTGCCATGGGAAGTGGTGGGACAGTAGGATTGCAAGTCTCCTTTCTCGGTGCTATGCAGGTGTTCTTCCTTGCATCCCTGCCCGCGCAACTTCATATGGAAACCTACCCCCACCAGGTCTGCTGTCCCTGCACAAGACTTTAAGGTCTGGTCATGTGCCACCTGGTCAGTCCCTCGGGGCAGCACTATCCATCTCGGCGTAATCCCAGCTGAGTTGTGAGGGACTTAATGCATCTTTGAGCACCTGTGAGAATGGAGGGAGCAGAGCTTTCCCAGCTCTGTCGAGGAATGCCAGCCCTCAGGACCCTCAGATACTACTCTAGTAGGAAACTGTGAGCTTCCCTTAATTCCTAGGAAAGTGTAGTCTTTAAAGTGACATCCTTGCTCTTTAGCATTTGAAAGAGGTCCTTTTGCAGGTTTGCACAGTAGTGTGCCAGCACTCCTTGGAGGCCAAGATGGCAAAGCTTCATCTTTCATACTTGCGACCTGTAGCTAGGCGAGGCTACTCCTTGGAAAGGGACAGCATGATTGGAAAAATGAAGGGTCAGCAAAAGAGGAAGACCCCAAAGAGATAGATTGATATGGTGACTTTAGCAGTGGGCTCGAGTGTGCCAGAGATGATGAGGATGGCACAGGACAGGGCAGGGTTCAGATCTGTTGTTCACAGGCTTGCTGTGAGTCAGTGGCACCTAGTAACAGCCACATCAACATATGTTATATGAGTTCTTGAATGTTGCTTCCACAAGACTGACTGTGGAACCAAATAAAATAAAATCCTTGACAACTTCAGTCTTTCCTGAGATTACTATGTTACTGCTTATGGTCAAGTTGTGAAAATTTTTGTTTTCTTTGTTGTGTAATCTATACTGAAGTCTGTGGTCTTTGATTTTTATTAGTAAGTGCTTCAAATTCATTTTTATTTTAGCAAGCGAGGTTGTGTTTTCTGAATGTCACAGGTTTTTAAAGAGTTGTCTTCTGACCCTGAAGCTGAAGTCTTCATAGATGTACATTCAGCATGCAGTCAGTTTACAGTTAAGAAATCTTGTCAGAAGACAGCCCATCTGTGGGTTAAAAATGGCCTCACTCACGGACTTCCTCACTAGTTGGATGTCTGAGACACTTCAGGCTGTGCTACGTACTGGGGTTAGAAATAAACACCTCAGGATGCAGACAAGTCTGTCTGCCCTGGAATGCAGATAAGCTGGAGGTGAAGGACTTTAAGGAATGAGCCAGACAAATGAGTAGTGTTCCAGGGGGCACTGGCTTACTCTGCCTTTTCAGCTCAGAATCACAGTGCAGTGCCCTTAAGTTCTTCTGTGTAAATCCAGGGTGTGGGTAGTCAGCAGAAGGTCTCATATTCTGTGATAGGGAATTCCTAGCTTATGTGGGAGTGGGATGTGGCGGGGTGTGCGGGGGGTGTGGTGGTTAGGGACTTCCACCTTGGCTCTGACTCACAGCCACACACATCTGCACAACCTCTCCTGTGCATTAGCCCGTTGTTGAGTCGCTCTGTTGGGCCATCTAGAGGGTCTTCCTCTTTGCTGACCGTCCACTTCACTGAGTGTGGCTGGACGCTCCTGGCAGCATGCCCTTTCCTCTCCAAGTAGTCGCATCGCTTTGAGTTTAGTGAAGCCATAAGAACACTCAGGTGGAGAGCTGATTGGATTAGAACGGCGGCCAGGCAGGCGGGGAGAAGTGTTAGCCAGCGAGTTTGAGGGTGACACACTTCGTCCAGTTGTGAGTCACAGGAGGAGACCTGGGCTCAGACTGAGGCATGTTTGCATCTGTCGGTGTGTTCCTCACTGTAAGAACTTGAGAGTGTCCTGTATCTCCGTGTGGATGTGGGAAGAGGGAAGCGGATCTGGGCCTGAAGTAGCTCCTGGCTGGCCCGCCGGGCTCTGACCACCAGCCACCTGTGTGGACAGGACGGGTGAGCACCGTCCCTCCGTCTTCAGTTGTCGGTTCGCTGGAAGATTTGAACTAGGGATCTGAAAGCACCTGCCTGCTTCTGGCTTCTACACTTTTCCCTCCTCAGGTCTGTGGTTTGACTTCACCGAGATGGTGTTGTGCTTGTCACCTTTCCATCCCTCACACATGGGGCTCTGCTACACTCACTTCCAAGGGACCTTGTCAGTGTTCTCCTGGCCCCTGTGTCCAGGTCTGTGGCTAGTTACAGCTCGAACAGTGAGAGTTGTCTCTTACCACTGCCTCATGTAGCCATCTCAATGCCCTGGACCCTCAGAAAGGAACAGTGAGGTGACCACATCCAGCTGGACAGACGCTTCTGATACTTGAATATTGGCCCCTTTTGTGCCTGCAGCACTGACTTGAAATGAACAACACATGGCTATGAGTCCTTCACTGCCCTGTCCCTAACTCTCTGCTGGACTTTGACAAGTAGGTCTTCTTATGCCAGGACTAACGAATTGATAGCATGTCAGTGAGTGTCTCTTACATTGGTGGATGCGGCCAAGATGATTTAAGAATAAATAATAATTTTGTGGACAAGAATTAGAGCGTGCTCAACAGATGTGGTTCGAGCAGATTCTAGAACTATCCCTGGCTGTCCCCTGCTGGATGAGCGAGCAGAGGTGGTGCCCATGGCTAGCTGGTACATGGTGTCATCCTTCTAAGCACAGTCGGTCGACTGCCTCATGGGGGTTACATGCCCGCGGCTTCGGAGTACTGCTGTCCCGCACCTGATATGGGAGCCGATGCTGAATTTAAAGAGTAGCTGCTGTTGGCTTCACTCATACTGACTTTATGCTCCACACATGAAGCCGTCCCTGGTCATTGACCATTCTCACTGTCCCTGCACTTGAGCCCTTTACTGCGGCATTGTGTTGCTCCAGCTCATTGCGGGTCTTCTCCCTTCCCAAGCGTACTCTGCTTCTTGTTTGGAGAACCCTCCAGCCTGAGGGCCTTGCTCCAGCACTGTGTCAGACAAAGTGCTATTTCTGTGAAACCCTGGGCCCACTTTTTCACAAGTGGAAGGCCAGTCCTGCTTCCTAGTCTTTGTCCAGAAGCTCTGCTGCAGCCTGCCCGCCATGAGTGACCATGCTCCGGTGGCCTACTGTGATGGAAAGAATAGAGACATTAATTACAAACTTACTTTAACACTTTGTGTCTTTCTGGGTACTTGTGCAGCCCCATCTTTTGTATACTTACCTGTGTGGTTTTGTTTTCATGTTTTGTCTGTTAGGAAGGAACTTTGACCTTGTTCTCTAAGCTGCTTGAAGAGCGTGACTAAATGCCCCTGAGTCAGGCTGGCTGTGGGCATGAAGTGAGTGGCTGGGAAACTCCGAGAACATGGTGGTGAATGGCAGGCGGAACGGAGGCAAGTTGTCCACTGACCATCAGCAGAGCCAGTCAAACCTGCAGCCCGTGGGCAAGGACGCCCTGAAGGCCGGGAAGAACACAGGGGAGAGGAGGTCCAGCCGAAGTACGTACCCCTGACCTGTGGGCCTCTCCTGGGGTGGGGGAAGGAGTCGTATGTGTCTGCACATTTTCTATTCCATAATCAACAGATTTTTTCCCCATGCTCTCAAGTTACATCTGTTTTTTGGTTCCTCTAACATTATGTAAAATGTAAGTGAAACATCTACATAATAATCTTAATCATACATTCCTGTTCATAACTTTTAAGTTACGGTTTGTAGATTTATTTTTTTTAAATAGGCTCCTGAAATTTATGTAAGTTTAAATTTTCTTTTTCCTATTTGGGTAAGTAAACGTGTATTTCTTTGGTTAACTTCCATAAATGTTTCAAAGAGTAATCTGAATAATGACATCAGTTGTGCTTTACCGACAAGTTGCATGAGAGAGAAGTAGATCTGCTGCTTTGGGACCTGCCCGCCCCTTTGTTGTGGAGTTGACTCACAGCAACGCGAAAGGGTAGAGTGTCTAAGACTGTGTATTCCTCGTGGATGCCCACTGCCTAGCCCTTCCACCCAGGAGCTGCTGATGGAGCCCTTGACAAAGACTGTGGACCCTTGCTCGCAGTCCCACACTTACTCCCCTCTGGGTCCCACACTTACTTACTTACTTACTAACTACTGGGCCATTTAGCCCAGTTCTGTTGAGTAAATAGTGGTTTATCTTGACCATATAGCAGTGCTAACAGTCACTTACTCTGTACCTCTTGGTGAGAAGGGGGCTGCTTTTTGAGTTTGAGATGTTGTAGAAGTGTTTTACCTTTCATAGTTCTTCCAAAAAGAGTAAAGCAGTACCTCAAGGAGCAGTATGACTCTTTAAGCAGGCAGCTGTATAAAAGTTGTCCCAAATTGTGTGGCCTTGCTAAGGAGAAGTTTGACCCCCTTTCTCCCCAAGGTTAATCCAGCCCTACTGAGTGTCCATGTTCATCTTGGAATCAGTCTGCTCCCACTGAGTTGGCACTACTCTCCGGTGTTCTGCGGTATCAAATGGAGTCTACATTTCTGACTTCCTTCCCCTTACTTTTAGGGATATGTGCTCTTCATTGGGCCCCAGCTAACCCTAACCAGTCTCTGTCATACCAGGCCACTGCTGGGGCAGGAGACCAGAGGGGCATCTGTGCAGAACTAGAAGGAAGAGGTGTGCCCGAGACTGAGTGGACCCTTCTCTCCATGGACCCCCCCCCCAGCCCCTGGGGTTACTGCTGGTGTGCACTGCCCCTGCCTCACGCTTCAGTATTGGAATGGTCACTCAGTTTAAAAGGATTGAGAAATGGAGTGGCCATATCAGTGGTGTTGGTGCTGGTCAGTAAGTGAGGCATCTCTGGATCATAAAGAGATTGAATTATTCATGAAATACATTACTGATAAAAAGCTCAGTACCATAGTCACCCAGAAGAGGAAATATTTAGAAATAAACGTAACCAGAGATATAAAAGACCTATACAAAGAAAATGACAAAACATAAGAGACTTAACATAAACTGAAAACTGTACATGCTCATAGATTGGAAGATTTAACATTAAGATAATGGTATACTGCCAAAAATTACAATACGGTCCCACTCTAGGCCCCTTCACCATTTTTTAAAAAGATGGAAACAAAGCAGTTACCAACTTTCTGTGGAAAGGAAAGCAACTCTCAGGTAAGCATGGTGATTCTGAAGAACCAAACAGAGTAGGGAGCTTTACGCTTGTGCCAGTCGGATCCCATTCGATGGTACACAGCAGCAACAAGAAAGAAAAACCTACTACCCAGCCACCATAATCAAAACAGCTTGGAACTGGTACAGCAGCAGACGAATGGAATAATTGAGAACCCAGCAATAAATCCATCCATCCACCTATGGCCAGCTGATCTTTGACGACAAAGAGATGAAATTTATAAAGTGGAGAAAAGACAGGCTCTTTAGCAAACAGTGCTGGCAAAGTGGGATATCTACAGAAAAGCCAAACAAGACCCACACATCATGTGTCATGTGGATTAAGGCTGTAAGTGTAAAATCCAGAACTATAAAGATCGCCTGACAACAGTCTGGAACAAGAAGTGCATTGCAGGGTGTGCTGGGGGAGGAGGGAAGAGAATGTGCAACAGTGAGTTAAAAAAAAAAAACACAACACATACCACTAACTATAAAGATTGTCGGGGAAACAATTGGGCAAACTTAAGTGCCCTAGTCAATGGCATAAATAGATTATCAAATATAACAGAGAATGCACGGTCAGAAGAGGCTGAACTAGACGATTGATAGCGCCTAAAATGTAAATCCTTATGTGCTTCAAAAGACTTCTGTGGGAGGAGAAGTTCTAAAGACCTCATCTCTAACATTTATAGAAAACTCCCAACACTTCATGAGAAGACAGACAACTCAAGTTACACAATGGACAGAGGGCATGAATAAACACTTCACTGCAGATGCTATCCAGATGGCCAAGAAATCCTTGAAAAGGTCCTGAGGGTCATGAGTCATGAGTAAGTGCGTTGCCATTGAGTGGAAACTGGCCTGTAGCTGACTCTTCAATGGGTTTCAGAGACTATATTGCACAGGAGAAGATTGCCCAGCTTTCTTCTCCCTCAGAACAGTTGGTAGATGAACCGCCTGCTTTTGCATTATACTCAGTGTTGATTCATGTAACAACAGCGTGGTATACTCAATAGCCAAGTGCATCAATTATTTTTCTGTCTTAGTTACTCATTAGTCATCTTTTTGTGCATGTGAAGCAACTGAAAACACCATGGCTTGAATCAGGTACAGCTTAGTTTTAAACTGATATGCTTGTTTTTTGCCACTTTAAAGGGGGTCTTTGACAATAGATTTTCCCAGTGCCTTTTGATTGATTGATTTGACAATTGATACTTAACCATTCATGTTGATTGTGGATGCAAGTAAAGGTAAATCCTTAACAACTTCAGTCTTTTTTCCATCTCTCATGATGTTGCCTCTTGGTGTAGTGGTGATAATTTTTGTTACTTGATGCTGTGATTTATCCATATTGAAGGCTGTATTTTTTTCATCTTTAGTAAATGCTTTCAGTTTGTACTTAACATAAGAGTAATTGATGGTCTGTTCCACAGTCAGCCCCTGGCTTTGTTTTGACTACTCATAATTTTTTTTTATAATTTTATTATTATTTTTGTGTGTATTGTCAAATCAGATCTGACTGGTACAGGAGGAGATTGCCCCTCCTTCCCCAACAGAGCATCTGGTGGATTCGAACCATGTACCTCTGGGATTGCAGTGCAGTTTCTTGCCACTAGGTCACCAGGATTCCCTTTGACTGCTTATAATTGAGCTGCTTCAGCAACTCTTTATACAGGTATATAATCAGTCTGATTCCCTGGTATTCCATCAGGTAAGGAATGTAAGTTTCCAGAACTTAACTGAAAGTGATCAAGACAATGTTGTATTCATATAACAGTAGACGTGATAGAACAAAATGAAGAATCCAGAATCAAGCCCTTACATTTGTAGTCACTTGATTTTAGTTCAATAAAGTTGTAAAAGTAATTCAGTAAGACTAGTCTTTTCATTTGGAAGCAGTAGTGGCACCCACTTCCTAAACAAAATGCCTCCAGAAACTCTATAAATTTGATAAATGTCGATAGTTATAGAAAGGCTACAGGCCTTTTGTTCATAGGGTCGTTACGAGTCATGCTTTACTCCAAGCCAGTCAACAGCATCAACAGTCTCTTCACTACATAATGCTGGGAGAGCTGATTATGCATATGTACAAGAATGATGTTACTTTGCCATGGATGAATTATATTTTCCTAAAATATATGTACATATGTATATAATAATAAAATGCGGAAACTATGTCGAGAATCCCCCATAAAACAAATAGTTGTAAGAGAATTAAGAGTGGGATGTAATCACCTTTTATTCTACCACTGCTCTGGTGGAATTTTTCCTTCCCGAGGGCAGTTAGCATAAGGTGTGACCTGTAACACCTGGCATCTGCTAGAGCAGGAGCACTGCAGCACCGAGACCAGATCTCCAGGAGGAAGGCCCGGACACATGGAGATCTCCAGTGAGCACCACGCGGCCCACAGATGCTAAAGGAAATAAGGATTTCCTCCTGAACTGGCACGTGGAGTAGGGCTGCTAGCTTCTTAAATGAAGAATAAAGTTGTAAAGATATCTAATTGTGGTATCTCTGTTAAATCAACACTAGATTACTAAGTTCCCTTGCCTCACATAAGAAGTAAAAATGATTTCAAAATAAGTCTGTGGCCTAAATGTAAAATTTGAAAACTCTTAGGAGAAAACTCGTACAAATTGTCATGACTTTGGATTAAGTAGGCATTAATCTTGAAACTTGGGCTTCAAAACATACTATCAGTAAGGTGAAAAGATGGCCCACCAAATGAAAGAAAAAAATTTTAAAGTCATGTGTTGATAAAGAAATTTTATCCAAAATACGAGTCCTGTGTGGATCTAAACAAACTATGGCTAACACTGAGAAGAGTGAGAATCCCAGAACACTTATTTGTGCTCTTGCAAAACTTATACATAGACTGAAAAGCAATTGTCGGAACAGAACAAGAGCACAACTGCATGTTTAAAATCAGGAAAGGTGTGCATTAGAGTTGGTCTGAATTCCTTTCCAGACTGTGCTGAGCAAGTAATTCGAGAAGCTGGACTGTGTGAAAAAAGAACGTGACGTCAAGATTGGAGGAGGCTCATCAACAGCCTGCATGGTGCAGCTCTCACAACCGTTTTTGCAGAAAATGAAGATGATTTGGAACACTTACTAAAGAGCTCAGACTGCAGCCTTCGATACAGGTTATGTCTCAACATCAGAAAATAAAAATCCTCATCATTTGACCAGAAGGCAACAACATAATGGATGGAGAAAAGATTGGAATTGTTACATATTTCATTTTACTTGGATCCACAGTCATTACCCCTGATAACAGTCGTCAAGATTCAAAACACATGTTGCATTGAGGAAGTCTGCTATCAAAGACCTCTTTTACTTTAAAGGCTTAGGTGTGCTTGGCCCAAGTCATGATATTTTTAATTGCTTCATATGCATCTGAATGTTGGAATAAGGAAGACAGAGGAAGAATTGATGCCTTTGAATTGTCCTGTTGGCTAAGAATATTGACTATACTGTAGACTGCCAGGAGAACAAATCTGTTTTCAACCAGAATGCTCCATAAAAACAGAGATGGTGAATACTTTGGGTGTATTGTCAAGAGAGGCTCTTCTTGGAAAAAGACATCCCGCTTGGAAAGGTAGAGAGTTTATATAGACACAGTGACTACAACAGGCTTGAGCATGGCACTTGAGATTGTGAGGGGACGCTAGTTAGAGCAAGCTGCAGATCTCTTCTCGATAAGGTTGCTGTGAGTCATGGTTCTGTCAACGTCACTTAACAACAACATCCAAAATGTATGTCTACAAGCTCCTATAAGTCTTTGAGGAAGACTTCCCAGTTTAAAAACAGCGAAGTTTTTTCTACCTTCTGACATGTGCAAAGCATCCGTAATGCACATGCTAAGATGTCATCAGAGAAATGGAAATCAGAGCTGCTTCTCACCCACTAGCATGTCTAGAATCAAAAGTGGGCAAAAATGTAGTGTTGCTGAGGGTGTTGAGAGACGTGGAACCACACCCATTGCTGGTGGGAATGTGAAATGATGCAGCTGCGATGGAAAGCAGCCTGACAGTGCATTAAAACGTTCCTCCTAGGCTCTCCATGTGGTCTTTGTTGCAGTCCGGTTGATGCCAGCCTGTAGTGACCTCATCAGACCCAGTGGCCCCACTTATGGGTACATTCCTAAGGGAAATGAAAATACATGTGTGATTACAAAAAACTTGTCCATGCAGAAAAGGAAATTGGAGAAGTATTTCTGCTTGTCTTGTATCTGTGTGTACCTGTCCTTTCTTTAGGACCAGGCAGACCAACTTATACACAGATATTTGTAAGAGCATTGCCACAAATGACGGTAATACTTTTTTTTTAAGTGTTTCTAAGCACGGTCGTCAATTTAAAAGTGTGCGGCAACATGTTAATGAGCCCGGAAGTGGAAATGACCCATGTCCAGTAACTGATAAATTGTGGTCTAGGCATACAGTGGGAGATTACTTGGCCATCAAAAGGAATCATGTTAATACACCGCACAACAGTGGTCAAGCTTGAAAGTATCATGCTGAGTGGAAGAAGTCAGGTGCAGATGGCCATGTGTTGAATGATGTCCTCTAGATGAAATTTCCAGAATGGGCAAGTCCCGAGACAGCAGGTGGTGGTTCCTGAGCTGGCAGTGAGCAAGGGTGGATGGATAGTGACTGAAGAGTTAAAAGGGGCTTTTAGGGTTGTGATAATACCCTCCAGATGTTGAGGCAGTGGTTACACAAGTCTGTGATAATACAAACCACTGGATAGTATGTTAATTTTTTCTTTGTAAAGTTGCTGATTTAAGGACTCTGCGAAATCACATACTTGTCCTTTGGCAGGGACTTCGTGTAAGTTTCAGTTGATTGTGAAGTGAATGAACAGGTGTATCCTCATGCTGCCTCTGTCATTTTCCACGTCGTTATTCTGACTGAGCCTTCCCTGCCGGTGGCCTCTTCCTCTGTAATGTAGGTCTGTTGATTCTTAGAAAGGCCGGCACACCAGGGGGGAGAGCTGCACCTCTGCCTTTGGGGCAGGCCTTTTCTTTCTTTAAGGAACCCTTGTGGGTTATATGTTGAACTGCCAACTACAAAGTTGGCATTTGGAACCCACCAGCTGTGCCCATGGCAGAAAGATGGGATAGTCGGGCCCCAGTTAAGATTACAGCCTCAGTAACCCCTGTGGGTCAACTCTTAATTCATTCAAGATCTATTTTAAACAGGTCCATTATTGTCCTTCTACTTCTTCCCACATGCCCTCCTACCTGCTAGCCTTGCAGAGAAGTTTCTTAACCTCAGAGTGGAGTTGCCCGCGCAGTTAAACATGATCACTCCTGTGCCCAGAAGCAGACGGTTGAGATCTGTGCTTCTGCCCCTGCAGCATGGATGAATTCTGGGCGACCCCCCGGCAAAGGCTCCATGAAAGAATGAGCTCCCTCAGCCACGCGCTCCACTGTGTCTCCAAGGGCCGAACACAGCGGCCAGAGCCTCACTAATCTTAGGAAGCCAAATACCTGCTGGCCAAAACACTGGGAATAGCTGGGTTAACACTCTTGGTTTTCTGTTCATGCAAAGTCTTCCTGCTTAAAACTGAAATGAATCCCATCAGTACTTAATGACTAGCCTAACAGGGTGGTGAAGCCAAGAGCGATGAAGGTTGTCCACCTGATTTACATGTCTATTTCTCACTTTCCACAGGTAATGGTAATTCAGGATTCGAAAGACAGGGTCGCTATGTACCGTCTTCTGGAATGTCTGCCAAGGAGCTCTGTGAAAATGATGACCTAGCAACCAGCTTGGTTCTCGATCCCTATTTAGGTTTTCAGACACACAAAATGAATACTAGGTAATTTCCCGTCTTCTTCCTGGTGGGACAGGCAGTTTTGCTGAACTTAACAGGCAGTTAATTTTATGCTTGCTTAAAATTCAGAGTGATCATACGTGAAAGTTCTTTGATTCAGAGTGACTTGATGTTTATGAGTTGGGAGAAGCAACAAACATTTTAAGACTTGTTAATTTTATGTCTATGTACCTGGGTTGTCTAGTGAGAGTTCTATTAAAGCGTAGCTAGAAGAATATCTTCTTTTTCTGTTTTAAATATTGATCATTGGGCAATATCTTTGCAGCATCCTTCAGAATCTTGAAAATGTATCATCATTTTTGCTACTGAAAGAAGGCTTCCTCAGAGTGGGTGTTCTAGAAATTTTATTACAGATTTTTATTTTATTTTTTTGCAGTGGAGCCCATTGAGACATTTTATTCGAACTGTGTTTTACCTCCCTAGAAAAAGAACCCTAGGGTTTGTCCTCCTGTGTGTTTCCGTCTTGGTTCCTCGTGGTCCATGATGCCAGCTGAGGTGGTCAGCACAGTGAAACCAGACTGACGGGGGCGGGGGGCAGAGGACTCTGCCTCTTCTCTAGATCTTTGAATTGCACATCAAATCTGGCGCTGATCACACTCGTTTGACCTGCCTGTGAGGTTGACAGTTTTCCCCACTCTGTGATCATTAGTGATTTCAAATTCACCGATGTAGCCATGCTTTATCATCGCCGGTAGGAACCGAACTATGACTGATAAGAACCTGGCGCTTGCCTCTCTGCACTGTTGTTGCTTATGAGAGCGTCATTTAGGACATTCATGCACTCCATAGTGGCCGCACGTAAAGGTGGTGGAAAGAGCAAACTATGGATCTTTTTTCTTAAATAAAATTCTACCGTACATGGGGAGCTTTACCACCGGTTTTGGACAAGGAAGGAAGTATTTAAAGACAGGCTTACGGTCATTGTGTAGAAGTGTAGCTGCCTCCTTGAGCATTAAATGACATGTACATAAAATACTGCTGATCTAGTGAGTGGTCATCCAGTAACATCAAGAGCACTGATCCTTTATTCTCATTCCCCTTGATGATTTCACACCTGCCTCCTGTGAAGTTTCATGATTGGCCTCCGGCCAAGGAGAGCAGAGAGCTGTAAGCCTCCCTTTCTCAGACCTTGCACGTGGAGGGTGTTCAGGTCTGCTGGGAGAGAGTAGCTGTGGGACGGAGAGTGAGGTCTGGCCCTGCCCACACTGTCCCTCTCTTCCGATGGTGTCCAGGTCACTGATCTAGAGACCCGCTCAGCGAGCAGAGTTCGACAGTAGATGAGTAGAGGTGACTGGGGAATCTTGCCCTCTTCTTTCCCTTGTCAGACCTGCTCCTTGTGAGAATTAAAACAAGCCCATACAACATGGATGTCCTACAGTCAGAAGGAGGTATCATCATTCATCCTTACTCTGAAATTACGTTACTCTCAGAATGGACTTGAGGGAGTAAATTATTGTCTGCCATGAGAGAAGCCATTGTCTAGGGTTCTGAATTGGCAGGTGCTGGCTGTTCAGCAGGGTCTGGTTCCCCCAGGTCCAGCAAGGTCTGCTTTGGGTGGTTTTGAGTCCTTTTCTTGCCCCAGGGCTGGTCCCTCTAGAAGGTCCTGATGACATTGAAATGACCCAGTAGCCTTCCTCTTTGCTGGGCTTAGTGTGACCAGCGGTCACTCTTCACTCAGCAGTGGAGTGGCATTCCAGCTGACACCAAGAAAACCAAGCCATGGCTGTGAACCAGAGCCTGTAGGAGTCACACTCCTGCGCTCTCAGCTGACACGTGGGGGCGTGCCGAGCAGCGCAGGAGGAGGGCTGTCAGGGTGACGGCAGGACGTGGCGGCGGAGCCCCATGCTGCCCGTTTCCGGTGTTGCTGGTTCCTGCTGTTGGAAATATCTTCCGTTTTCATAGATGTTCTCCCTGGCTGTTTCTTCTTTTACTGAGTTTCCAAAGAGGAGTGGAAATGGTGTTAAAATTCCATTTGCTCCTGTGAATTTGTCCTGACGAGCTCCCACACTGCACGTGAGTTACCAGGGGCCTGCACACTTGACTGTTGCTTGTGGAGTCAGAAAGGCCCGCAAAGTTGTTAACACTCCTTACTCCTTGTTGTGAGGTAGAACCAACCATAGCTGAGCCCCGACGGGGGTTTCAGAGGCAGTAAATTGAAAAGTACGGGGTTGCCTGTCCTCCCATGGAACAGTTGGTGGATTCGAACCACATGCATTTGGGATTACTGCACAGGTTCTTGTTCCTAACCACTAGGCCAGAGCTCCTAACTCCTTCCCTAGGGCTCACTTGAAACCAGTTAATCATAAAATGTTGGGTTCGTGATTACTCCTTACTGTTACTGAAATAGAAGACCTTACTGTGTCTTGAAAACACTTACATTTAAATGCATGAAATGAAATCATTTCTTCCCCCTAGAAAACAAGGCATCTAAAATTAAAATGGGCTACGCACATTAAACATGGAAAAGAAAGCACTCTGTTTCCAGCGCAGCATTTAGTTCTAAAGAGTGCCTCAGCTCACCGGGGGTAGCTAACCCGGGCGACCCTGCTGGCTGTGTAACTAGAGCTCCAGCCCCTGCAACCGTGTGAGTATTGTCATGTGACCAGAGTGACTCTCTGTTTAGTCAGAGGCCTTCAGTTGGAAGGGTGTGAGGACCCCTCTAAACTGACCTGAGAGACACAGACACTTGTTTAATGAAATGTGTTATTTTTAGGAAAAGAGAACATATTTTCATGTAATCTGAGGGGATACATTTTAAAACTTAAAAGTATCCTTTTTCCCAGCCTCCATCTTTTGGGCAAGAATTTATCAGCATGTTGACTTAGGTCATTTGCAAAGCTGATGTATGTGGAAAGTCGAGTCTGCAGCGGTGTCTTAGAGCAGTTGGTAGTCTGTAATCTGTCCTGGGCGCCGGGGGCATCTCGCAGTGCACTTTCTGTGTGCTGTGCTGGTGCTGTGTCTGCACCTATTTCTGTCCCGTTTCTCTTATCACCTTGGCCCTCCTCCTCCATGGTCCCATCAGCAGGGCTGAGAAGCAGTAGGTGCGCCATGCTATCTTGAGATGGCACAGTACTCTGTCACTGGGGAACGACTCTGGGGGCCACAAAGACCCAGAGGCTGCGGGCAAAAGTCGAGACTTCACTAACTGACCTCACTGAGGACACTTCCTCCTTCCTTCTATCCCAGCTTGGTAATAGCTTGCCTTAGAAATGGGAGAAGGGGCTGAAGAGGAGGTTCCAGGCCGACCTGGCTGGGGCTGCTGATTCGGGCCAGGCTGCGCAGGGCGCAGTGACACAGGGATGCAACTTTTGATTGCCAAGTGCAATGAAGGTTATGTTTACACCACCAAGTGTGCCACTGCTGTTGTTCTATGGCATCGTATAATTGATCCTATGCACATTAGCTCTGACCCCTGCTCTGTCCTGTACCAATGTGGAAAACATGGACTGTTAAAGAGACACACATGGGGGGGAGAGAGAGAAAGAGTGTGTGTGTGTGTGTGTGTGTGTGTGTGTGTGTGTGTGTGTGTGTGTGTGTGTGTGTGTGTGTGTGTGTCTGTCTGTCTTTCCATCCATGCCTTCTGCAAAGGCTCCTACAGTCTGCACAACCCTGAAGTTTCAGAAGAGTTGGAGGGGGGCTGCCAGTGGGCAGGGGGCACACACAGTCATTGTAGGGGCTGCTGTTTGGAACTTGCCCTGGGTGTTCTGATCCAAAGTTCAGCCTGTGTCCTCGACGCTTTCTTCCACTGTTGCACCGTCTCGTTTTGGAAGTCCTGGTTTCTGTACAGGATAACTTGTCTCCGCTGTTGGGTGTGAATTTATAGATCGTTTTAGTATCTAAAGTCAGTGGCTTGACTGTGGCATAGAGAAATTTATGTATCTTCCTTTTGTCACGGGTAAAATTCTGTAGAAACAGTTTTCACCAAGAGGCTTTGTTCTGCTGAGCCTCCCCATGGTTTGTAAAACAGACTCGGGTTTGCCGCAACTAATATTGCTAAGTCTGGCAGTTTAAATATGGATGACTCAAACCATGTTTATTGTTTGTTTTTGCCTTTAGCGCCTTTCCTTCAAGAAGCTCCAGGCACTTTCCCAGATCTAACAGTTTTCCTCAGCACAGCCCTGTGAGGTAGGTATAGCTTCTGCACACAGTTATGTACAGTGACCACTGACCTGCTGCAGGTTTGACCTTAATATAATGTGAGGTGTCAGCATAAACGCAGTCTTAGAACTTTTTGTTACATACCTTTTAAAATCATTTGGTTCTGGTTATAGCTCTGTTTAAAAAACCACTTGTACTCCACAACAGGGTAATTTTAAGAGAAACAGATCAGTCATCCAAAGATCAGGACTCACTCCCTGGGATTAGCTGAGCACTGGTTGCAGGCCTCAGCCAGGTATGTTTTCAGTTCCTGTTTCTTTGCAGGTGAAGAGGAGCACAGAGCTGTGGTCCTGGCGGGACCCCTCTCTGTGCCCACCAGCTGTCCTCAGTGCGGTCAGGCCTGCACTGATGTGGAATTAGACTTCATGTCTGCAGGGTTTGAGTGTTTCCTCTCTCGTCCACTCGCTGGTTTCTGCTCCCCATCCTCTCCCCATCCCTCCAGGTGAACGCACTGTGGGGCGCACTAGCACAGCTGGGACAGCATTCCTTCTTCCTTCACCTCCACGGTGGGCTCTGGGAAGAGAGGGGCCCAGGTGTGCAGGAATGTGATGCCTCCTGCCCCGTAGATGATACTGGCCATTGAGAAGAGGTGTGGGAAGGGACAGACACGCTCACTGGCTTAGTAAAAGCAGGCTGTGTGATAGGAGAGGTGGAGAGGGCGTGTTGCTTGGAGATGCCACGTGTCTTTCCCTGTGGCCCCTGCCTTCAGCAGCATGTAAAGGTGTGTTGCTGTCCATTTCTGTCCCTGTAGTGGCCACGTGCAGCCCCGAGCTGCCCCTGTGCCCAGCACACCCGTGTCGTTCCTGCTCCAGTTACACAGCACGGGAGTGCGGAACCTGGCCACAGTCCTGGGCCAGCTACGGAATACTGGATAGACCACTTTTGCCTGGTCTGCTTCCTCTCATACCATAATAGGCATGTCACAAATACAGAGGCAGAGAGACCCCATTCAGGTGTGTGTGTAATGCAGGGAGGGGGAATAAACACGCTACCAGGAGTCTTTATGCAAGTCTGGAAGGTCTCTGTTCATCTGAAAGTGGAGCTTTGAGTTGTAGCATTACCGTAAGGAAAGCGGTACCTTGATATCAGGGGCGTTGCTGTACATCCAGATTCTTGTAGTCCAGAAAAGGTAGGAGCAGGAAAGGCCTGGCCAGCACTTGATTGATTAGCCTGAGTCCTGCTGCAGAAGGCTTGGCCTTGTTGGCCTCATCTCCTTCACTTGTGAACGAGGGCCCTGATCGGCTCATCTGAAATGTCCTCCCAGCTTTAGGTCCCGTGATAGGAGGAGGGCTTCCTGCCTTTTGTGGAGATTGGAGGGATATGGGTGAGAAGGAGAGAGGGCAGCCTTCTAGTCAATGATAGAAAAGCATTTTCCCCAAAGACCTCCATGGCTGGCACTGAGCCTTCAGTCCTGAGTCTTCTGTGAGTAAGTTCACTCCCAGAGTGTGTGTTACAGGATTTGACTTGAATGATTAGGTGCTGCTAATGTGCTTCTACGGGACTTTGAAAACAGCTCTCTTTTTATCATTAATTACTAAAATATTAATGAACTTTGTTACTGTAATTAATTAATCACAGTATTTTCATCAACGCTTTGTGTATATGTTGCCTTTTCCTTCACTCAGTCTGTTTGTTTCTTCATTTTTCCTCTCTCCTCTTCCCTGGTAACTATCCAAGTTTGCTTCTAGGTGTAAACCTTTCTGTATAATGGTTTTCTACCAGGACTGTCCTTGAGTGGCCGGCAGGCCTCACTCAGCATCATTTCCTTGAAACTCATCCCTGTTATGCTGTGACAGTCCTCAGGTCTTCACTGTGTGCACCTGTCACCGTTCTCTTCCACTTTTGTCCTTCACTGTCACTTAATGCCTGTGGCAGACAACTTTAATAGTCAGCGTTAACAATCTGGGGACAGATTTTGTTGCTGTTGGAGGAATATAGAAATCAGGAAAGAAGAAACAAAGGTCCACACTAGGAAGCTGGAAGGCAGAACATTCCTAAAGCAAGACTTGGTTATTTCGCGTTGGTTTTGGCAGAACCCACAAGAGTAAACTAAAGAAGACCTGAGAGGTAATTTCCTGCTAGGAGGTTTCCCAGAAGGCGGCATAGGCGCACAGCCTGTCACATCAGCCAGCGTCCCTTCTGGCCTGTAATTATTCTCCTGTGAGTTCTTAGGACTTCAGGGGAACTTTGCTTGGCCATGTGTCGAGCCATTTATCCAGTTATTGAGTGCCGATGACATGGCCAAGTCCACCCTGCATGTGTGAAGGTCACCTGGCTCGCTCTGTCGTCTGTAGCCCTGTCTATAGCTCAGTTCTGGGTGTTCATTGCCTGTACTTTTCTGGTGCCTCTTTGTTCCCACCATTTCCTGTTTGAGTCACATTCCCTGGTGGGCTACACATCAGCTCACAGTCCTTTGTTGTCTTACCTGTCCCCGTGTGCATAGAGCCCACAGTCAGGGCTCTCCCTGGCTTTCCTCAGAGCACCTGTGACGGTGATTACAAGTGTTTCTGTGTGGCTTCTGTAAGGAAGGTAGATGGTTTGGTCGTGGTCTCCTGACACCATCTTCTGACAACCTAAACACTTGACTTATGCAAAGGGCCTCCGCTCATCTGTGAGGAGCAGTGTGCCAACTAATTGGAAATAAGAAACAAAAAAGGTGGGGCATCTGCTGTGTCACTAGGTTTATTTGGACTCTCAGATAATCGCATCACAAGTGTGGACGTGCAGACTCACCAGGCTCCAGCCCCTGGCAGTGCCGGTGTGTGCTCGTGTAGCCCCTGTCCAGTCAAGAATGCTCTTCACCTGCTCTGTACCCCATCGCTTTCTTCTCACACTTTCCTTCATTCTTGTTCCTCTCAGCTGTCCAAACCTAGCCTTACCCAGAGCCTTTCTGTGCCCTTTCTCACTCTGCTTCCTTTCTGCTGTTCTCCAGCTATAGGACGCTGCTGATGCATTAGCTGAATTCACCTCTTTGATTGGCCTTGTCAGTGTCAACTTGTAGCACCCTTCCCAGACAGTCTTCTGCTCCCTTCCATTGTTTTCACACTGTTAGCATGCCTTCACCTGCTGGTGGCCTTGTTGAACTGTGTGGTGCATATCTGTCTTTTATCCTCAGTTACGTTTGCCAGGAATGGAGGCCATGAATGCCATCTCCTGCATTGTTTATTGTAAATACCCGAGGTGCTATCATGTATAACAGCACTGATATCTTTGTGATATAAACCCCAGAACTCAAAATTCATTGCTATCAAGTCAGAAATGACTCGTCGCTGACCCTCCAGCGGGTTTTCTGAGACAGTAAATCACACCTAGGATTACCCATCTCTCTCCCATGAAGCTGCTGGTGGATCCAAACCAACAGAGAGGAGCCTTTTTTGAGTTAGCTGTGCAACTACCTACCAGCAGTGCCAGTTACCAGTACGCAGATGACACAACCCTGCTTGCTGAAAATGAGGAGGGCCTGAAGCGCTTGCCGGAGAAGGTCAAGTATGGTATTGAAGCTCACCATCAAGAAGACAAAGATTCTCACCACTGGACCAATTGGCTGCACCATGATAGATGGAGAAGAGATTGAGGTTGTTAACAATTACAGCTTGCTTAGCTCCATGGTCAACACTCTTGGCACCAGCAGTCAGGAAATCAAAAGACATGTTGCATTGGCTAAGCCTGTCAGGAACCTCTAGAGTACTGAAAAGCAACAGTGTCAGTCTAGAGACAAACGTGCACCTGATCCTGGCCATGGCTTTCGTAATTACTTGCTGTGCATCAGAGAGCTGGACTAAGGATAACAGAAGAATTGATGCCTTTGAGTTGTGGTGCTGGAAAAAAGTCTTGAACATACCATGGACCACCAAAAAAAATAAGTCAATCTTGGAGAGGGTGAAACCAAGTACAGCCCAAAACTTCACAGGCAGCAGTGTGCTCTGAAACTAGTGAGGTCCCCGAGCGGGAGTGGAACCGATGGAGGCTGGGATTTTGAAGTTCCATATCACATACTTGAGGCATGTGGCCAGGAGGGACCAATGCTTAGGGAAGGACATCATGCTCAGAAGGATGGAGGGACAGCACAGAAGAGGAAGACCCTGGACGAGATAGATTGATACAGTAACTAAGGCAATGGGGGTAGGTGTGTCAGAATCAGTGAGACTGACTTAGGACAGGGTAGGCTTCAGAGCCGCAGCACATAAGGTCGCTGTGAGTCACAGTTAACACAGATAACATTATGTACCGCCAAGTTGGAACTGACCCATAACTGACCCTCCGGCAGGTCTTCAGATGCAATTAATCACGCTGTAGGAGGTTATCTGTCTTGCTCCCACAGATCTGCGGATGGATTCGAACTTTGCACCATCCTGTTGCCAGCATAACTCCTTCCCATTTAGGCCCCCAGAGCTCCCTAACTACATCATAGACTGGCTTTACTTGGTTAACATATTGCAGCAAATGACGGCAAATGCGTTTCTAAGCATGGTCGCCAATGCAATGTGTTAACTGCAGTATTAGTGCACCTGGGAGAACTTACCTGGGGGAGAAAGTGCAGCTGTGCTGCTTGGTGCGGGGAGGCCTAGCCCGCTTTTAGCATTTTACGAGATTGGGCGCGTTCAGGGTGGTATGGCCGTAGACCGCTTTTAGCATTTTCAGTTGTGCATGCACGGTGCTAAATGGGAGAGCAAGGTGCAGAATTCCAGTCTCTGTGTCTGTAGCCACTCATGATATTTTTATAAATGTATTTTTTATTTTAGTGACAGTCTTTTTTTTTTAACTTTTTTTCTGGGTGTTTTGATTTATTTTGAAAGATGGAAACTTAGGGGAAATTAGCAAGATGAAGTTTGAGATGAGAAGAAATTTTGAAATTAAGATCCAGGTACCTTTAGTGATAGTAACCATGCTTCACCAGGAGTTGGGAGGAAGGGATGACGTGACACACACCACCTTTAGAATAAGGGGCTGAGAAGTCTGCATCTCCCCTGGACGCGGTTGTGTTGTGTTCATACATGCCTGACCCCATCAGCCTGAGACCCAGTACCATCGGTTCCACTCCCGCTCGGGGACCTCACTAGTTTCAGAGCACACTGCTGCCTGTGAAGTTTTGGGCTGTACCCTGGGCGTAGAGTGCCAGGCCTTCCTTCTGCTGCACTGCTGAGGTATTTGGACCAGCAGACCACCTACCTGGGGGCTGACTCGCGTTGAATTCTGGAGGCTTTGTGTCATGAGGAGAAGAAACTGCAGCTCGTCTTTCTCCCTCAGAGCCACTGGTGGAACTGAACGGCCACCCTGTGGGTTAATGCTGGGGACACGCTGTATCACAGTGCCCCCAGGGTGACACTCTTAAGTCAGTGGAACTAATTGACACTGGAAGCCTTTTCAGACTCCACCATCAGGTTTTTGTTTGCTTTCTGCATTCGTTCGCTGTGATGCCATTTCACTGCTAGCTTCGTTCCTGATGATTCCTGTTTCCTGGGTGCACTTGTCAGAGGTGAATTTGCAGGGGTGATCAGAACGCTCTTCCTGGTGAAGAACATTACTGGCTCTCTTCCACCTTGACTTTGCCTGTTTTCAAGCTCTGGTCGTTCTGACTCATATAGACATCTTCTGTTCGTTTTCTTCCTATTTCCTTTTGGACCTTCTTAAGCAGATGGCTAGTATGCCCCTGGTCATTAATGAGGTAGCAAATAAAAATGAGAAGTAACAGTTTGATGGAAGAGAAACTTGCTTCCTGGTAATCACCGTGATTTAGATAATTATCACTGGTTCTCTTTGTTAAGTCCGTGCTTTGCAGTCTGTGGTGGATTTAGCGTAGGTGTGTCTTTTGCTCATGTTTTTCTAAAGATGAGTGGCCAAGGATGGTGAAGGCGACTAAATTTGCCTTTTGGCTTTCTTCCAGGTTTCGGCCTATTAAAGGAAGGCAGGAAGAGCTGAAGGAGGTGATCGAGCGCTTTAAGAAAGACGAACACTTGGAAAAAGCCTTCAAATATCTGACCTCCGGCGAATGGGCACGGCACTATTTTCTTAACAAGAACAAAATGCAGGAGAAATTATTCAAAGAACATGTACGTTGATTAAGCAGATTAATGCTATTAATCTGTTTCAATAAGAGTAAAGGAAACTAAAGTCTAAGTTTTAGTGAACACTGAAGCGTTAATCAATTTCCATAAAACTGCTCAGTATGAAGGACCTTGTAACACGTAAGAAGATCATTTGGATGATTATTCAAAGAGCAAACGTTGTCATCTAGAAGTGAAAGTGATTGTGAACTTGTAGAGTAATTTGGCCAAGCTGTTAGGTACTCCACAATATTTGACATTTAAAAATAACAATAAAGTTTATTACTTAATGATGTGACATTTTTTACATTGTTGGTGGTGGTTTGTTTTTATAATTCTGAGAAAGTCTAGCAGGATAACCAGTTTAGGACAAAGTTAATATCAAATTCTTTTTCCTGTTTTAGGTATTTATTTACTTGCGAATGTTTGCAACTGAGAGTGGATTTGAGATATTGCCTTGTAATAGATACTCTTCAGAACAAAATGGAGCCAAAATAGTTGCAACAAAAGAGTGGTAACTATGACACTAGTAAAACCCTTAACGTCATTTCTGTAAAGTTCTCTCTCAAGTTACTGTTAAGTGTGTGACATTGATGGTGAGGGATGAAGCTGGAGCTTCCTCCTGGGGAGCCGCTGCCCCGGCCGTCCCGCCCACACAGAGCATAGAAAAGGGACCTTGATGCTGTACTGTCGTCTGTTACACGTGCAGTAGCATGATGGGAAAGTTGGTTATGTCGGAGAATGACAAAAACAGGACACAGCCGTGTGATGAGCAGGGGGTGGTCCGGCCTGCAGCTGTCAGAAATGCTGTGTCTGCGGAGGGCAGTGAAGTGGGGTGTACCTCTGTGTGAACACACACCACGTGCCTGTGTCATCCTGAAGTAGTCGACCTAATCCCCGCTAGGAAGGGTGAGAGCTGTAGCGGGAGGCCGTGGGCCTTCTCTTCTGATGCCCCTTCCCAGCCATGCTTCTCGTCCTCACAGCCTTGTGGTATAAGTGTGGAAGGCAGATACCTGTGGATGGGCAAAGGAGCCCCCCTGCAGGCCTCCTGGGGCAGAGGGGTGTGCTTGAGCGTGCATCTTTGTCTTCACTTTGGGGTGCTGTGGAGCCTGCCAGTTGGATCTCGTGGCTCCTTGTAGACACGACAGGGGTTTCCAGAGACTTGCTGTCCAGCCCAGTACACCAACCAGAGGGGCCACCGGGCCCTCAACAGGGCTAGTGTGAAGGGAGACGTGCTGTCCGGGTACTTACCCACCAGATCTGGTAGTAAATCTTTGCTCTCATTCATGTCTCCTGTATCACTTACGTGCTGAGACAGGATAGCAGACGTATTGGGTTAGGTACATTATTAAAGGCAAGGCCACTTGTTTCATTGATTTACTGAGACTGCTGGGAAATGCCCCATTCCCACGTGGCTTCCCACACCCCGTGGATGGTGCACGTGGAGGCGCCAGCCAGGCCTCACTGGGCCTCAGGCTCCTGTGGGGAGCAGCTTGCTCTCAGTGCATGGAGCGTCCACGGGCACCACAGTCCAGCTGCTGCCTGGGTCGCCCTGGAGGCATCTCCTGGTTCCTGTAGGACTAGAGCAGGCACATGGCTGACAGTGCAGCGCTTGGGGCTTAAGCAGCTGGCAGGTGGGAGCCAGGTGAGGAGGCAGAAATCGCCCCATCTGGGTCTTCGCAGTTCCCGATATTGATTGGGCAGGCGTAATTTATTACAGAAGCCTTCTTTATAATTACTAGTGGTTTTTAACACATGACATATTTTAACTAGGAAACGAAATGACAAAATAGAATTACTGGTGGGTCGTATTGCCGAACTTTCAGAAATTGAGGAGAACATGCTACTTAGACGCGGAGAGAATGACTTCAGTGTCATGTACTCCACGCGGAAAAACTGTGCTCAGCTCTGGCTCGGCCCCGCCGCCTTCATCAACCATGGTGAGTCCTGTCGGGGACGGGCGGACAGGCCTGGTCAGACTCGTCAAGTCTTACAGGGGACGGGCGGGCCTGCTGCGGGTGGACAGGCCTGGTCAGACTCGTCAAGTCTTACAGGGGACGGGCGGGCCTGCTGCAGGGTGGACAGACCTGGTCAGGCTCGTCAAGTCTTACAGGGGGCAGGCGGGCCTGCTAAGGTATAGCCAGGCTTGGCCATAACTCTGTCAAGTCCTACGGGGGTGTGGGCCTGCTGCAGTGTGGACGGGCCTGGTTAGACTCCATCAAGTCCTTCCCGGGTCGGGCGGGCCCAGGGCTGCCAGGCGGGCCTGCTGCATGTGGACGGGCCTGGTTAGACTCCGTCAAGTCCTACAGGATAGAGTCTAGTAGGAACCAGAGTGACCTTTGAAGGAGGGTTTGAACAGGAGGTCTCTGGGTTTTTTTCTCCTCCTCTTCTGTCTCTCTCTCTCCTCAGCCCCCCACAAATACATTAAAAGATTAAATTTTCCTTTATGTTCCACTGGGCACCTAGCCTGTCAAAATTTGTGACATGATCATGGAAAGCTTATTTCAGATTTCTGTAATTGTTCGTGTTTCAGATTTATCCACAGTTAATTGACTTTATCTTTTGGACATTTTTCAGATTGCAGACCTAACTGTAAGGTAAGCATGAAGCAATTCTGTATTTCGCAGAAGTTGTTCTGTTTGGGTTTCAGGAGTGAGTTTCTTAATGAGTGGCTTCTGTTTCAGTTTGTGTCAACCGGCCGGGACACGGCCTGCGTGAAGGCTCTGCGAGATATTGAACCTGGAGAGGAAATTTCTTGTTACTATGGAGATGGGTTTTTTGGAGAGAATAACGAGTTCTGCGAGTGCTACACTTGTGAAAGGTAAAGCAGCCGGGTCGATTGTGTGCTGGCGCCTTCCAGCGCCTGCCGTCCCGGGCCGTTCTCTCTGACTTAGCGCGCAGACAGCCCTGTGGTCTCGCTGACCAGGACTGATGTCTGAACATGTGATGCCCAAGTTTGTGGGATCCTCCTTGCACCACAGCCGCCGCTGTTGGTTAGCCTGCAGCTGTGCTTGGAGGACGGGAGCCTCCACACACTTACATGCACAGAAACACATGTTCCCGTGAGTTTTCTGGAAGATGGGGGAGGAAGCACACGGTGGCTGGCCCATGGAAACTTTAGGGCTGTCCGCATGTGCCTGAGCTATGCTCGTTGGAATTTGGCCATAGAATTTTCTTTCTTTGTATTAAAAATAGGAAAAAGAAAAATAGTTCAAATGTTTGTTAACAGTTTTAGACTAGTAAAAAAAAAAAAAACAAAACACCACCATAAAACAGTAAATCAACCAAGTCTGTTACTGCATGAAGTAGTTTAATTGCACTTGAATTTAGAAGTTCTTGTAAAGAGAGCTATGCAGGGTAGCAGTTGACTGAGAGCTGCAGGCGCCCGGGGTCCTGTACTCACTGGTGACCGCAGGCAGGAAGCTCACCTGCCTTAGCCGTGAGCGCGGGGTGGATAGTAGCAGCCTCGCAGGGTTTCAGTGAGGATGGGTTTGTTATGCAGAGCTTGTAGAACAGCTCGCAGTTGGTGATTTAATCTGAGTACTTATGCTCTGCCCCAGAATTTGCCTACTATGCGATCTGTGTTCGGAGCAGTAATCAGTAGTTACTGGGTGAAATGGATAATGGTGTGCTGGTTTCTTTATATTGCCTGGAAAGAAGCAGCCCTGTAAATAAGTGTGCAAACCTTGGGAAAAAGGAATAGACTGAGACCTCAGCAGCCAGGTTAGCGCTGGCTGCAGGGAACACTGGGTTCCAGAGCAGTCGGCAAGGATGCCCAGTGCCATGGATGCAGGCCCCACTCTCCTCCGTGCTGCACCATGAGCAGATGGGACTTCAGTGAGTTATAAAGGAAGAAACAAGGGACATAGAGAAGCAGAAGAAAAAATGTTTGGAAAAAATTCTAATTTCCGTCATGTCTATTTATTGAAATGTACTTGAACTTTAGCCCATCTTTGTAGAAATGAACCAAAAACACAAGCGTAAATGTCGTGGAGTTTCTGAAAATAGTTTATTACTTTCTTTATGGAATGAAGCCACCTTTGGGGACTTGATCCCCCGGGCGAGGCACCTGGAGGATTGCTCTGCTGACTCCTGTGCCAGCACTTGAGGAAAATTGCATGATTTGGTGGGGTTTTTTTAAACATTAACAGTTAGTGAAAGGAGGATCTGGATTCATTTTAGGGCTGCGAAGACAGCAACGGGTGCCGTACCCCGTGGTGTGCTAGGTGTAGCCCTGTGTTAGCTAGCGGGAAGGGATGGGAAGATGACATAGAACACAGGTAGTCGCTAAGTTGGAGGGGAAACAAAGTAATTGTTTTTGGAAACCTTTTTTCTCGGAGGAAGTGTCCTCCAGTCAAGGTCAGGAGCCTGGGGAGCCTGGGCAGTCGCAGTGAGGGGTCAGTTTGGAGCAGCCGTCAGTTTGGAGCTTTTGGATCTGTTTTTTAGAGCGGAGTCCTGCTTCTTCATGGCCTGTGGTCTCCACAGGGCTGCACTCAGGAGCGTGTTCTGTGGCTTCTCCAGCAAGCTGAGGCCAAGGAAAAGCAAGTCAGTGGGTTGGGCTTTTACCTCATTTATTCAAAATTTACATCTTTTTAGCATTGTGCATTGAATAAAAAAGATGATTTTTGCAGAGCTGAAGATGTTGAGCCCATTTGGGTCTCCTCTTACCCATCCTTGTATGTGTTGTAAGAGTTGATGTGACCACAGACATCTGGGGCAGGCTGTAAGTCATTCACACCCGAGTGATCGCCAGGATCCCCTGACTTTTGCTTCCTAACATTTGGTTTGTTGTTGTACATAACTAGTCTAGAAACATAAACAGAACTGCTTTAACACAGCTCAGTATTCTAGAAACCAGTGTTTCATTGATTGAGCCTAGTCTCCTTAGGCACTTTCAGTTAAGATTTTGTTTTGTTTGGTTTAATCTGGCATCAAATGCTGCATGATTGATGAAGTAGTGGATAATCTGGAAGGATAGAACTTTGAGGCCTGGGCTTCACCTGCCTCCAGCCGTGGTATTTTCTCTCTCCTCGTGAGCATGCAGAGCTAGACAGTGTTGAAGGAAGACTGAGTGGAAACGGACGCCTTTGAGTTACCGTGTAGGCAAAGGTTATACCAGGGACTGTGGGCCACCAAGAGGACAGACGTGTCTTAGAAGAAATGCAGCAGCTGGAATGCTCTTTAGAAGCAAGGACAGCGAGGCTTGGTCTCACATCCTTTGGACAAGTTACCAGGAGAGGCCAGTCTCTGGGGAAAACATGTTTGATAAAGCGGAAGGTCAGCCAAAAAAGAGAGATCCTCAGTGCGAGAGATGACCAGGGGCCACAACAGTGGGCTCACTTGGCAGCCCTGTGACAGTGACAAGGGCCAGACAGTGTGTGACCCTGTTGTGCTTGGGTCACCAGGAGTCAGAACCACCCCCAGTTGTCTTAATGACAGCCACGATAATTTTTGATGGGCTATTAGCAATTTGTTTGTAATAGTTATAGCAGGTTGTTGTCCTATATTAAATGCGAGAGTTTTACCTAGATTTTAGATGCTTATTTTCTTTCCTTTGAGAGTCAAGAAGTGGCAGGCTCCCACCAATGGCTGGGCGCCCCTCTGTTTATCAGCCGCATCTGCTGACGAGGTTCAGCCAGAAACCCACAGCCTCTGAGTGTGTTGGAAGTTGGTGTGTGCTGTTTGCGTAACCTGTGCTGTTTTCTCTTTCAGACGGGGAACTGGTGCTTTTAAATCCAGAGTGGGACTGCCTACGCCTGCTCCTGTTATCAATAGCAAATATGGACTCAGAGAGACAGATAAACGCTTGAATAGACTTAAAAAGTTAGGTGACAGCAGCAAAAATTCAGACAGTCAATCTGTCAGCTCAAACACTGATGCAGATACCACTCAGGAAAAAAACAATGCAAGTAAGTAAGGGAAGGGGGTGGAATAAGTATACTTCTTTTTCAAGCGTCGCGCTGTGATTTGAACTTTGAATTGTAAAACAAACTTTGGGACTTAGCAGCGTCCACATCCCTGAGGTTCTAGAAGTTACTTGAGCACAGTTTGCATTCTTCCTCCAAAGTCTGTTGTGCCCTGTGCCGAATTGTCTGTTTTGCTAGAGCTCTTGGTAGCTGGATGTTGAACTTTCCACACGTGCCAGGATCACCGTCTCAGAGAGAAACCTTCTAAAGGTGACCGGGCATGTTGCTGCCTTTGGCCTCAGGTGAAGACAGGACTGGGCAGAACCGTGACAGCGGCCATGCTCGGAGCAGGCCGTGAACTGTTGGACCTGGAGTCTTCTCTCTGTGCTGCTCGTTTGCCCTTTTCAAACCAGACAGACACAGTCATTGGACTTCAGGTTGTGGTAGGGAGTGTTTTCGGTGCTAGTGTGTGATGTGTGTTGTATTAGCCACTGCAGAATGCAGCAAGAAGAGAGGTGAAAAGGGGCGAAAACAAGCTTTGAGGTGGCAGCTGTGGGGGGGGGGGGGCAAGTGGGAAAGCGAGAGTGAAGAAAGGACGGAAGGGGCCGCACAGGCCAGGAAGCGTGTCTGTGCCGCTTTGACACATAGAGACTTCTAACCGCTGCTGCCCCCACTGTGCTCCAGTTATCCCTTAAGGTGGGCTGTGTGGGCATTGACAGGCAGGAGGAAGTCAGGGCGTCACATGTGGGCCTCAGGAGCGGCCTGCTCTGTTGCTCAGATGTCCCAGCATGGCTTCCTGACGGCCCGGATCAGCCAGCCCTCTGAGATGCTGACGCTTTGAGCTTTTATCCCCGTCATCTGATATTGGGGCCAGCACTGAGTGCAGTGCCCATTCCCCGTAAACCCTGAGGACCTGGACAAGTGTCTGCACGAGGGAGAGATGCCACTGCCTGTGTCCCTGAAACTGCTGCTGTGGGAGTCAGAGGCAGGGTGCACCTCTGTGATGTGGGCTGTTCCCCTCCCCCCAGTGTTGGCTGACACCCAGGTCCAGCTCTATGTTGTGAGGTGTCCCTCCTCCAGTGTGGGTTGACCCCCCAATTGCACCACTATGTTGTGGGTATCCTCCCTTCACCGTGAGCTGATCCTCAGGTGTACCTCTGTGATGTAGGGTGTTTTTCTTTCAGTGTGAGCATACTTCTATGATGTGGGGATCCCTCATTCAGTGTTGGGCTAAACCCCGGCATTCCACTGTGATGTAGTGTGTCCCCCTCCAGTGTGGGCTCACCCCCGGGTGCACCTGTGTGATGGGAGGTGTCCCCCTCCGGTGTGGGCTGACCCTCAGGTGAACAAGATGAGTGAGTCACTTGTTCCCAGTTGAAAGAGGACGTAGCACCAAGAACCGCTGAGGTGGCTTCCAGTGGAGCTGACACAAAGCCTAGTTTCTAAATATCTGTGTGGGAGACCTCGAGAGCCTGCCACCACCCGACCACAGGCTGCCACCATGCTATCCACATTGAGTGACCGTGACATCTGTGGTCGCCATGCTGTTTGTACACTGTTACCCATAGTACATCAATATTGACCTCAGTTTTCACCCTTGAGTTTAGAAGATATGACTACAGTTGTAAAGGTCCTGCGTGGGCTAAGTCCTATGTAACCGTGGAGGAAATACTTACTCATAAACAGTTAGTTACTGAAGACTGTTTTGGTGAGGTAGCCCGTAGGGAGCTGTAGTGCTGACCTACAGGGACCGCTGCTGGTTGGAATCCATCGACAGCTCCCGTACATGATTTAGCCTCAGAAAACCCACCTGAGGGTCAGCTGTGAGTTGGTTCAGACCTGACTGCAGTAAGTTGCTGAAGGAGGAAGCCTTGTGTGGTGTGGTAAACTCAGTGTTGGCTAACGTCCAGGTCAGAGGTTTGACCCACAGAAGAAAGACCTAGAGACCCTCCTATACATTACGACATCAGAAGCCTTCTGAGGTGCCCCTGTGCTGTCCTCCGCTCTTCCTTCTCAGTTAGGACTGTCTCCTTAGCCAGCATTCCACATTTATAGTCCACCATCCAGAATCTGTCTCCTGCATCAGTGATACACCTCTCTTGGTAATATGCCCGTTGTTACCGACAGTGTCTATTCAGCACTGAATTTAGCTGCTGCTGAGGAGCTGCTTGATTTGAGCAGTGTGTATTGAACCCTCTCTGCCTGCTTGGAGAAGTTGTCCTAACCTAGGGCAGTTTGTGTTCTGAACAGTGGCCAGAAAGCCACAGCTTCGCCATTTCCTGTAGCATCTGGAGGGAGGAGACCTGGAGAAATCCACTTGCAGAAATGTGAGTCGTCAGGGCCTCCATCGGACACATCTGTTCTTCGGGCTGTGCGCCGGCTGCTGGGAAGGCCATCTTCCCTGTCCCGGGGATGGCAGGCCGGCGTCACTCACAGACTGCTGCCCTGCTTACACCTAGAGGAGAGGTGTGCTGGGTGAGCCCGTGGGGCAGTGGGCTTCAAGGGCACGTGGATAGGCCTCCTTGTCCCCGTGTTCAGAAGAGCTGCGGCTGTGGGTGGCGTTCGCGTTACTCCTGTCCATTTCTGGGCCTTTCCTGGTGTGGGTCTGAGCACTGAAGATGACTTGGTACCGCAGTGCACACACGGAGCTTCCCTTCCATTCTGAGGACACCCTCAAGTGACCACAGTGGCCGTGTACCGCTTCTTTTACCAACCGGTAACCTAAGTCGCCGACCTGTGCTGCCCCTTAAATGCGGACGCCTGTGGACACTCAAACTAGTGCACGTGCTGCCTGTGCTGGCAGGATGTGTCCCAGGGCAGAGTGGTCCACAGCAGCCGTCCCCTCCATGCCCATCCTGGGGAATGTGTCCCCGTCGAATCCCTGTCTAGACTCATGTTAGGGCTCTGCCTCGGGCACACGTGCTGCATTGGTATTGGCCCTGCGGTGGCCACCAGCAGCCCTTATACAAAGCACACCTCTCCCTTGATGAATGGTCCAGAAATGATTGCCTTTTGATCTCATTGTGGTTAATCACTGAGCGCCTCAAGTCCCCCCCACCCAAGGTAGTGTGGAACCGTGGAGGGCCCCGACCCTCAGCTGTCTCTCCATGGTCAGCTTGCTTCTGCCGGCTTATCTGGCCTTGTCCTCTTCAGGCTCTAACTCGGGAAGCACACCTTTTGGCGGCTTCTGGCATGATGTGACCTTTTCAACAGAAAGAATATGTTGGTGACCAAAGAAAAAAATTATGTAAAGCCTCTGTGTTTAAATAATAGCGCATCAGATACCATGTTTTGTGCTCAGTATACACGAATCCACCAGAGTGTTGGTCAGTGGTCGCCACTCGACTGACGGTGACTGTGAGAGGAGGGATGCAAAGGGGAGGCCCAGTCGCTGTCGAGTGAGGCTCATTTCTCGCAGATGTGACGAGTGAGGGGTGTATGTCGGAAGGGCGCCCTTCTTACCGTGCAGCCACAGAGGTTTCCTGAGGGACGAGCTTCTAAGCCAGGGTGTCAGGAAGGAGTCGGCCGGGTAACGCCGAGAACAGCTCATAGGGGGTGCATGCGGAGACAGTCATTGTCATCATGCTTAGAAAGGACAGGACTTTAGTGCAGACTGGTAGACTTTATTCTTGGGACCTGAGGTTATAAATGATGGAGAGCCCAGGGTGACGTGGTGTTAGAGGAGAACCATCGGGCCAGTGTCTTGTGGGGAACGCAGAGGATGACAGGCTTGGGAGTGGGTTTGCAGCAGTGGAGAGGTTCCGGTGACTGCCCGCTGGGCTCCATGAAGGTGACGAGATCAGAGAGAGCAAGCACCGGCCGTGTCCTCCAGGTTTGTGACCTGGACACTTGACCTGTGGTGGTGTTCGATGAGGAGCTAAGTGGGGGAAGTAGCCAGTACATGTGCTGCTCGGGTCAGCCTGGGCTTGTTGACCATGAGGGTTATGAAGCACCCTTCAGAGAGGAGGGGGCCAGCAGATCCTGGTGTGTGGGTCAGTGGATGAGCGTCACCCAGAGAAATGCGTGCAGTTCCCAGAGGGTGTAGGGTAGCAGAGGCTTCACAGGGACATGGAGGAAAGCCGTGAATGTGGGCTCACAGCCCCCACAGGAAGAGAAGGCTCGTCAAGACACAGGCACGTGTCTGTTCTGCAGAGAAATGAAAGACGTAAGAGCTGAAACGTGTTTTCTGGGTTTTGTGATGAGGTGGAACGGAACACTTGGCCCAGACTACAGGGATACGTTGCTGATGAGATGACCCTTATGCAGCTGTTGAGGTGCTAGCAGTGTGTGTGGTGAACAGATGAGAAAGGAAGCTTCGGGAAGGACAGAGGATGTTCACGGAATCACTATGCCAAGAAACATTCAAGCATTTCAGGAGGTGGCATACAGACAAGATCACCGTGTTGAAGGAAGAAGTCTAAGCAGCGTGAACGAGGTCATTAAAAACCAGGTTCTGGGAACTCATGGAGTACCAGTGGGGGGTACTTCAGCAAACTAGTATAAGTTTGGAAGCGCTCACTAGTCTATGCCAGGAAATGGGGGAGGCAGCTATTTTCGCACCATTCCAAAGAAGGGTGACCTGGTAGAATGCAGGTGTTCGCCAACAGTATCAGTGATATCACATGTAAAATTTTCTGAAGATAAAAAATCAGCAGTTCATCAATAAGAAACTGTTGAAAATTCAAACGAGGACTTCAGAAGAATGAGAATTCTACAACACGTAGTTGTACCTCCGCAGAACCTGTACTTCAGAGCGGGCTACACTGTTGGAATAGAATGGGGAGGATGCTGCCTAGTGTACCGTCAGGGAATGTGTGCATCTTCCCGTGTCCTTTCAGCGTCTCCTCTGGACCGTATGAAGAACACAGCGTCAGCATTGGAGGAAGAACCCTTTACAGCTTGGGATAAACAGATGGCAACACATCGCTTCAGGAAAGTGAAGAGAACTTAAATCACTTACTGATGAAGATCAGAGACAGCAGCCACTGGTGTGGATTACAACTCGAACAAAAATCCCCCTGAACCATTAAGCAGCATAATGGTAAAAAAAGCTTGAAGTTGTGAAGGTTTTCATTTTAATGGAATCTGTACAGTCAACCCCTCACATACTTGGGGCATATTGCTAGGAGGGGGGAGCTGTTCCTTGGAGAAGGACATGATGCTGGGAAGGATGGAGGGTCAGTGAAGGAGAGGAAGGCCTTCAAACAGGTGGATTGATGATGTGGCTGCTGCAGTGGGCTCTTGTGTCAGAAAGTGTGAGGATGGCGCAGGACAGAACAGGCTCTTCTGTTCATAGGATCGCTATGAGTCATACTCGGCTCAACAGCACCAAACAACAGTCAGTACTCAGCAGTCCAGAAGTAAAAATGGCATATGACTCTGGGTCCCTCTGCTGAAAAACCTCATTAAAGTCTTAAAAAAACCAACAATATCGCACCACAACAAGGTAAACAACTCATTTGAAAAAATGGGCACAGAATATGAACACTTCACCAAAGAAGACATTCAGATGGCAAACAAACACATGAAGAAATGTTCAAAATCCTTAGTTCTAAGAGAGATACAAATCAAAACAATTATGAGGTATCATCTCACCCCAGTAAGAATAGCAAAATTTAACAGAACAGCAAGCAACAAATGCTGGTGAGGTTGTGGAGAAACTGGAACCCTTATTCACTGTTTGTGAGAGTGTAAAATGGTGCAACCACTGTGGAAGGCCGTATGGCACTTTCTCAAAAAGTTGTAAATAGAAATACCATTTGACCCAGCAGTTCCTCTACTGGGAATATACCCTAAAGAAACCAGAACTGCCACCCAAGTAGATATATGCACACTCAAATTTACCCCGCTGTTGTGTTCACAGTAGTAAGGAGTTGGAAACAACCTAAGTGCCCATCAACAAATGAATGGATAGGAAAGCTGTGGTATATTCACACAATGGAATACTACGCTGCATTGAAAAACAAGGAACTCATACAATATTATTAAAAATGGGTGATTCTGGAGGACATTATGCTGAGTGAAATATCTCAGTCACAAAAGGACAAATACTACTTAGTGCCACTATTGTAAAACGAGCCTGACATCGGGGTTGGGGCGAGACTGAGCAAGATGGGATAAAGTATGTATACTGCACTAAAACAGATGAGGGAGAAAACTGTTAAGGGAGAGGTGATTAGGTATTTTTGTCACGACAGGAGTCCAGAGCGAAGGCTGCATAGTGGAGTGGACTTGGGGCGGGTATTGTAAAACAGTGAAAGAATTTTTCTTTTTAAAGAGAGGAGCGAACTGTGGGGGAGGTTGGGCAGGGAGAAAAGTGCAGCAGTGAATGAATGGAAATCCAGAGTCTCTGTAAACTTTAATTAAAATTTTTAAAAAAATTAATTTTTTGAAAAAGCAACAATATCACCTTGAGGACTAAGGTGTGTCTGACTGAAACTCTGATGACATCCACGAACTCATGTGCAGGTGAGAGTTGGACAGTGGATAAAGACGTCTGAAGAACTGAGGCCTCCGGGTGTTGGTATTGATGGCGAATACTGAGTGTGCCGTGGATTGCCATGTGGACAAGCTTGTCAGTCTGTGAAGAGGGGCAGCCAGTGGCGGCCTTAGAAACAGAGACGGCCAGGCTGCCTCTCCCTGACTGGGGCGTTCGGTGGGACCAGTTCCTGGAGAAGAACAGCATGCTTGGTAAAGCAGAGCGTCCCTGTGAGGCGGGCTGAGCCAGGGGCTCACCGTGGGGCAGTGCTCCGCTGTGTGTAGGGTTGGCAACAGTCTGAATGGACTGTGCAGCACTTCCCAGCAGCCGTAGTGACGACAAGCTGAGAAAAGGCTGAGACTGGCCCCTAAGCTCACCGCATGGAATGGTGGTTGTGAGATCATGGCAGCTGAACAAGAGGCCGTCTGTCCTTTGGGTTTGCCTGGAAAGCACCAGGAGAGCGTGCACAGACACAGTGCAACTCCCAGATCACGCTGCAGGCAGGCCTTCGAGCTCCTGCACCGGAGAGATTCCCAGCAAAGAGTTCTGTGTCATTCTGTTTCCTGTGCGTACTTACTAACCAATCTGCCATTCAAAAAGTTGCTTGTCTGAAGTTTGGTGGGCTCTGTAGCCAGACCGCACCGAGTTCTCTGTCCTGTGGACTACTGGCTTCAATGCCTGGGAGAGGCAGGCCCTTCTGGTGCTGGTGCTCTGACGGCTCTGCCCTTGCCCTCGCTTACACGAATGGCTGGCTGGCTCAGCTGCACAGAGGACTCGGCCGTTTCCCTGTCACCCTCAGCTGTGGCCGCAGCAGCAGGCGTGCTTCCTCCTCGGTTCGCCTTAGCTGAGGGTGCTCCTGAGGGCTGTTGGTCAGGAGGAGGTCTTACTGGTTTAGGTAAGAACAACAGTGTCTGAGGATGCATGTAGGTTCAGGTTGTGGGTAGAGAAGAGAAGCGTTGAGCAGAAGTTGGGTCAGGTGAACAGAGCTGCTTCACTGCTGAGGTCCCCAAGAGCTTCAGGCGCTGTCCAGTGGCGTACACTTCCTTGAGTGGTCAGCCACCAGGACCAGCGTGATTGCCATGTCCTCGTCATGGAGGAAAGAGGGCTTGTTTTTAGGGTGTCATATTGGCACCTGGGTCCGTCCTCCAGGCTGCTCACTCAGGTCGTTGGGGCCGAGGCCCCCAAAGTGACAGGGTTCCATGTTGACAGTCCCTGGTTGTACCGCTGTCCTCACAGAAATGAAGAAACAGCTTACAGGTTACGGTTGGAGACATACCTGCTAGGATTTACTGCTTGGGTTTCTTATGTATCTGCAGCTATGAGTAACGTTTCTATTGGGTTGGGGTTTTTTTTCCAAGGTTAGGTAATAAACTTCAAGTTTCTTTTAGAGTATTTTAGAAACTGGAATAAAGTGATAAGAAATCCTGGAGACAATAATGTGTGACCTGTCATGCTTCTAACTGAAAGGTTGTCAGTTCAGGTCCATCAGCGGCTCTGAGAGAGAAAGCTGGGCGGTCTATGAATGTCCATGGGCGGTGTCCACAGCCTCGGAAGCCCCACCCAGCCAGTGCTCTGAGTTGGAAGCAGTGGGCTTCTAGAACGATGGGTTAGAAGGGAGAGGAGCAGTGTGCTTTCACTCAGCTTTCCTCTGAGTCTCACGTGGTGAAATCCATCCTTCAGCTCAGGTTAAGGACAGACTGAGTCCAGCCTGTGGACGTGCTGAGAGCCTACAAGTACCAGTGGTTTACCTGGGAGACAAGGGAACAGCTTCCAGACGTCAAAAGTGGACATTAGGGAGGGTGAAGCCAAGAAAGGAGCCCTGGTGGCCCAGTCCTTGAGCAGTCAGCTGCTCACTAAATGGCGTGTGGTTTAAACCAGCAAGTGCATTGTAAGAGAACGACAAGGCAAGCAGCTTCCACAAAGCGTGCAGCCACAGGGACCCCATGGGGCAGCTCTGTGCCCTGGAGGGTCCTGGCCAGTCAGCGTCAACTCCGGGCAGCGGGTGGGTGTGGTGGGGGGTGTGGGGGCCCTGGTAGCCATGGGTTCAGGTGCTTGACTGGTAACAGAAAGGTCAGGTCTGGAAACCTGCCTGGGGGCCGTCAGCGCTGTCCTCTGTGGACGATGGGAGTCAGAGCCGTGGCAGCAGACTTTGGGTTAGAGACAGGCGTGGTCTGGGAATGCTGGGGACTGACCGCATCCACATGAGCGCCGAGTGTTGGAGCTGACGGCTGGTCTGGGGTGTGGTTTGGTTGAGCGTTGCTGTGAACCCGGACATACTCTCATTTTTGTTTTCTACCTCTTACAGCTTCTAACCGGAAATCTTCAGTCGGTGTAAGAAAGACGATGCAGAGCAGAACGTTGGCCAGGCGGTCCCTGCCAAGAAGCCCGGCTCCCTCCAGCTCTACCTCACCTAAACTCACCCACATGCATAGCTCCAGGGTACCAAAGAAACTGAAAAAGCCTGCAAAGCCTTTACTTTCAAAGATAAAATTAAGAAATCATTGTAAAGGGCTGGAGCAAAAGAGTGCTTCCAGGAAACTTGAAATGGGGAACCTAGTGCTTAAGGAGCCTAAAGTGGTTCTGTATAAAAACCTGCCCCTTAAAAAAGACCAGGAGCCGGAGGGCGCCGTGCAGGCCGGCGTGGCCAGTGGGTGCTTGACGAGACACGCGGCCAGAGAACACAGGCAGAACTCCGGGAAAGGTGCTCACTCAAGGGGCGAGGGCTCGCCCTGCTCCTATGTCACCCGGAGGTCAGTGCGGACGAGGGTGAGCCTGAAGGACGCTGCTGACGCCAAGCTGGACCCGAGCTCGGTGGATGGCTACAAAGAGGACCCCACGGAACCGTGTGTGGAGGAGGGCGAGCAGCCAGCCCCCGGGCCGCTGGAGGAGGACTCAGCTCACGAAGGCACACAGAAGGGGGACGCAAAGTGTCACAAGAGTGACAGCAGCTTGTCCAAAAAGAAGTCCCGCCAGGGAAAGCCTAGGAAGCCGTTCACCCCGGTGGAGGCCTTGGCCCCGGCACACGAGTGCCCTGGGAGCAACAGCGTGGGGCCAGACGTGCCCGGCTCCCATCCTGACCGGGGCGAGCACAGTGGCACAGGGAGCACACCGTCGGGCTACGACCAGGCGCCCTCGCCCATAGGCTGTTCGATTGTCACGTCAGACAGCTTCAAAGCAAAAGACAGCTTTAGGACTGCGAAAAGCAAGAAGAAGCGTCGGATCACACGCTACGATGCCCAACTCATCCTGGAAAATAACTCCGGGATTCCCAAATTGATTCTTCGCAGGCGGCATGACAGCAGTAGCAAGACCAACGACCAGGAGAGTGATGGGATGGGCTCCTCGAAGATCAGCATCAAGCTAAGTAAAGACCACGAGAATGACAGTAACCTCTACGTGGCAAAGCTCAATAACGGCTTCAACTCAGGCTCAGGCAGTAGTTCCACGAAATTGAAAATCCAGCTGAAGAGGGACGAGGAGGGCCGGGGGCCGTATGCAGAGGGCCTGCACGAGAACGGCGTGTGCTGCAGCGACACCCTCTCCCTCCTGGAGTCTCGGATGGAAGTGGACGACTACAGCCAGTACGAGGAGCAGAGCACCGACGGGGCCTCCTCGTCGGAGGGCGAGGAGGAGGAGGAGGACTATGAGGATGACTTCGAAGATGACTTCATCCCCCTCCCACCAGCCAAGCGGTTAAGGCTGATCGTTGGGAAGGACTCCATCGACATTGACATTTCTTCCCGGAGAAGAGAAGACCAGTCGTTGCGGCTCAACGCATAAGCTCTTGGTCTTCACCCGACCCAGGAGAACAAAAGAAATTTTAAAATATTCCAGTCAGCTGTTCCTCAACTGAAATGTTTTCGTGGCAGCACTTGTCTCTTCAGTTAAACAGCCTAATACTGTAGAGAGTGTACAGCATACTGACCTTTACCAAGTCTGATTTGTGCACATTTTTATTGTACTTTTTAACTAGCCTTCTTATGTGCAATTCTGAGTTCGAGGTAAAACTCTGTTGTAAAATAAAGGCTCAAGCAAAATTGTACAGCGATACCAACTTTCCACACAGGATACTGAAAACAATAATGTGACTACACAAGTCCTTTTTTTTTTTTAAACTCTTAAGAGCATCTGTCAGCTGGCTCTTTAAAATCTGACTAAACAGTAACTGAAAACAAGTCATAGCAACAGCATATTAAGGTTTCCTAGTATATGCTAATATCACCACCAATGATCTATGGCTTTTGATTTATTTGCTACATGTCCCCCCTTTTGGCGTTCTGTCAGTTTCACACTGTTTGCTGGCCCAGCTGTACTGTTTGTGGTCTTTGTTAAAGTAGTAAACATTGGTTGGGAGTCAGATCCGTTTTTTTGTTTTGTTTTGTTTTGTTTTGGTGTTTGGTTTTTTTTTTAGGGGGAAAAAGGTAAAGTACAATGATATGTGTGACCGCCGACCGGTGCACAGTGTACAGGGAGGCGTGTGCAGGGTGAGTTTCATGTGGCGTATTTATTGCTTGTCGTGTAAATTAAAGACCTTGTATTTAACACTTTTCAATCCTTTTAGATAAAATTGTTTTTTGCAAGAATGATTGGTGCTTATTTTTTCAAAAATTTGCTGTGAACATTGTGATGACAAGAAGCAACATCTATCTAATGAACTACAGTGATCTTCATTTGGTTCTTTGAGTTTTCTGTTGCACTTGTAAAATGCTACAAGGAATATTAAAAAAAAGAAATCTATTCACTTTAACTTATAATAGTTTATGAAAGAAAAACATGAGTCACAGCTTTTGTTCTGTGGTAACCTATAAAAAATGTTTGTCTTGGGAATTCATTGTAAAGAACTGAAAACAATGTACATGTTGTAAATATTTGTGTGTTGTGAGAAATTTTTTCTGTCCTAAGAAATTAAAAGAACTTACCAGGAAGGTTTTTAAGTTTAGAAAATATTCATGCCAATAAAATAGGAAATTATAAATAATATCGTTTTAAGCACTGCATCAGTGGAAGTTCTTGGCTTACATTAGTTTATGAAAATTTCTAAGATACTTTATTATCAGTTATAAAAAGTCAGATTTAATTTGTTTTTGTTTCTTTGAAGCACTTTGAGAAGTTAATTTTAAGTAACTTAATGAGCAGACTTTGGATTACTGCTCTGCACCCAGACCCAGGCCCTCCTGCTTCCTCTGTCTGATTCGGTCACCGGATTCAGGGAGTCCCCATCTTCGGCAGCTGTTGGTGCTGCTCCTGGGAGAGGTGAGTGTGTGCCCCAGACACGCCCGGGAGCCGACTGGGGGACCAGCCGGCAGGGGGACCGGCCGTGTCTGGAGGAGCCCCTCACCCCCAGGACTGACGTGTCGGCACCATGCCATTGCATTGGTTCCCACCGTGCCAAGGTTCTGGGGATGCTCTCCAGGTCCAGTTCCTTGAAACTGGCCAGCTGGTTACACGTAAAAATTAACAGTACTCACGAAAGTGTTTCAAATTGAGGTTTTCTTTCTCCTCGGGTGTCCGAGGAGGTCCTTGCGGTCGTGTGTCGTGTCGTCCTCGTATGGTGCAGTTTAATCCCTCAGGTATCGATTTGGAAGCATGTGGTCGGCTTGTCCCCACACTCTCACCCCTTGTGCTGCGTCCTCGCACGCCCGGGCAGCCCCCCTCACCCACCCCGTCCCGGGGACCTCGAGCACTTTACAGCCCGCCCGCCCCACAGTGTCCTGCTCACAGCGTCCGCCCGGGGGAGGCGGCCAGGGCATTGAGGAGAGGTGACCATTACACCCAAGTCTGGGGGGCTCCTCTCCTCACTCCCACCTGAGCCCAGGCTGTTGTTCCGAAGAGGCTCAGAGACGAAACCTGCAACTGTTTGTTTTCATACCGACAATAGCCATTTCAGGAATTCCCATCTGAAGGAGAAAAGTAACAAGGCATCACATTCCCCATTCCTCTCCTGTTCCAGCTGAATTCCAGTAATTAATATATGGTGTGTGTTCACTTTCTTGTGGCCTCTGCTCGGGGGCTGACCTCCCTGTGAGTCTCAGAGCAGCACCATGGGGGAGTCGCTGCCTCTCAGGAGTCGGTATGCACAGCTCTCGGCGGCCACTGTCCATGCCTTCATGGGGACCCAACGCTCCGTTCGCTAAGCTGGGGCCTCGGACTGCTCTGGACCTGCTGTCAAACTTGACTGCTCGCTGCGGCCGAGTCCACACGCCCTTCAGCCTGTTTGGAAGAGGTTGCATTCAATAAAAACTTTAACTTGAGCTTATGCAATGATTGGTCAAGATTTTTGGCATTGTAAGAATTAGGAGATGATCATAGAAATTTGTGACGTATTCAATTTACAATCATTTTTCAAATTACTGTGTTTTGAATTGTTTTGCCGAGTTGTAATACTTTTGAGATACCGTGTATTCCTTGTACTGAAAGAATGAAAAAGGACTTTTTCCGCATTTGAGGTAAGTTCTTTAATGTTTCATTAAAAACATTTTTTACAGATATTTTGTACATGCACTTGCAGTATTGAGGTTAATCATTTTAATAAATTCGGAAATTAAAACAATCTGGCCGGTGTCCACTGTATCTGAAGAGAGATGAGATGAGGGTGAAGTGTGCTTCCCAAAGCTTTTCTGCCCTGTCCGGTCTGAACAGTGGCCTTGCCTGGTCCATGCAGCCATTCTCCTCCAGGGGGGGGGAGCAAGGGAGCATCTTGGGCCTTTGCAACCCAACAGGTGACTGATGTCCTTGAGTCCAAAGTGACTCATCGCAGCCCACCGTTGGGTCTCTTGAGTGGCACCAGAGGAAATGGCCCATCCTTCTCCCCCAAAACTGCTGGTGGATTTGAACCAGCAGACAGGGACAGCCCTTGGATTAACAGTGAAACCCTCTCTGGGGAGGGAGGGAGCCAAAGCTTGCTGGTGGCGTCTGACAGCTCTGGGATTTTCCACCAACAAATTGTACCACACACAAGAACCAGCAGCAGGTGCTGTGTCCCCATTGCTGATAAATAGCTACAGTGAGCTGCATGTTGGGCTGCTTGCCAAAAGGTGGGCAGTTCAAGCCCACCATGTCTTGCCCAGGACAAAGAATTTATGTTAAGATTTGCCGCCTCAGCTGGTGAGCTGCCTTGAGCTGGGATGTGCTCAGCAGTGGACGGGTAGATTTAGATTGATAGCATAACCTAGCCAGAGGAGACAGGCCCGGCTCGCCCATCGCGGTACTGTCCCAGTGACCTGCCCAGGCAGACATCTCCAGACCTCATTTCCTACTTCAAGCCTCAATCAGGAGTCGCTGATCTCATGGGGACAGCTGGCCCTGTCACCAGTCACATGTCAGGAAGGACTGCATGCTCTAGACAGCGAGTAGGGTGAGGCTCAGGCAGCAGTGACCCCTGCTGTCAACGCTGAAGTACCCACCCACATGCACTTCTGGCAAGCGGAGGGTCAGGTATGACCGCTCTCGAAAAGTCTCAGGCTTCCAGAGGTGGGTTCCTCCTGTCCACAGCTGGGCTGTCGGTTCCCAGAGCCCTTTGGGATTTCTGTCTTAGCATCAGTGTCCTGTCAGAACTGTCCCTCCCTGTTCTCTGCGGAGAACTTGGTGTCATGCATGATAAGTATAACTGCTGTGACCCCAGGGTCAGAACACATGGATGGGGAGAAGGCATGTCTGCTGGGGGCAGAGGAGACGTGCATGGACTCCTGGCACAGGATTACATGACGGCTGGGACAAAGTGCCAACCTTAAACCCTAGTCCTCACTGTCCAGGGCAGGTAAGACTGTGGTCATTGACAACTGATTCCTTCTGGTCCACAGCTCCAGGGACAGCTGGCTGAGGGGAGGGAGGAACCGGCAGCATCCTCATGCAGATTGAATCTGCTCAAAGCTGTCCCAAGTCGTGTCTTCCTGTCACTGGTCATCAGTGACTGTGTGATGGCGGGCCAAGCAGGGGAGGAGAGGAAGTTTGGTCCTGAAAGAAAAAAGGGGAGTGTCCAGCCAAGTCCCTGACAAGGGGCAGGAGGCTTTGGTCCAGAGCCCAGGGGTGGGGTGGGCTCTTGAACAAGAAGCGCCACTGGTCATGACTTCCAACTTAAGATGTCCATGGCGTTCATCCGAGCATCAGGAGAAGCCTGGAGACCACAGCTGGACATTGGAAGCAGAATGAGGACATGGACACCGCCAACAATGGAAATCCAGCACCCTCCGGTTGTCACAAAGGACAGGCCACGGGGCCGGTGTCCACGCACCAAAGCAGGAGCCGACTCACCGCACGGGTAGGCCGGGGTGGTGAGGGGCAGAAGTCAGGAGACCAGCTGTGGCGACGCTGAACAGGTGAATGCACGGGGGACAAGAGCTGAGGTCAGGTGGTGGCTCTCAACTTTGTGGACAGAGGCCTCTTCCGGTAGTGACAAGGTCCCCTCCCTGAGCAGCTACAGGGGTCAGCACCTGCAAAAGGGGAAAGTCCCTGGAGGTGAGGTCACACTTCCGAAAGACCAAGGACACTGGCCGGAACTGAAGTCACCCTGGGCTGGCCGTGACTCGCTCCGAGGGGCACTCCGGCGCGCGCACGCCAGGGGGCGCCAGAGCGCATAGACGCGCAGGACAAGGTGGGCCGGGCGTGGAGGACAGCAGGGACCCTGCAGGGGCGAGAAGGCGTGCGCTCGGCTGCCTGTGGTCACCAGCTAGCGGTGACCCAGCAGCTGAAGACCCGGCCTCAAGGGCCAGCTCGGCTTGCAGCTGCACCCCAGCCCCCCACGCCCACTGGACCCGGTGCCCAGTCACTCACGTGGCCGCACC